GGGATCAGAACGATTTTTAATGTTTTTTTACAGGAGTTTCTTATGCTCATCAAGGCTGCATTTATTTGATCAAAAATACAGGAAAAAATTTTATATTGTGAAATATTATTATGATGTTTAAAATAGAAATCTTTTCTAACAATATACACTACCGTTCAAAAGTTTGGGGAAAGAAATTAAAACTTTTATTCAGCAAGGATGTCTTATATTGTTAAGAAGTGATAGCAAAGATTTATATTGTTAGAAAAGATTTATATTTTGAATAAATGCTGTTCTTATTAACATTTTATTCATCAAAGAATCCTGAAAAAAGTATCACAGTTTCCAAAAAAATATTTGGCAGCACAACTGTTGCCAACATTGATAATTCTAATAATAAATCAGCATATTATGATTTCTTAAGGATCATGTGACACTTTATACTGGAGTAATGGCTGATGGAAATTCAGCTTTGCATCACAGAAATAAATTATATTGTTTTTACAATTTTATATTGTAATAACATTTTGCAAGATTACTGTTTTTTTCTGTATTTTTGATCAAATAAATGCAGCCTTGATGAGCATAAGAGACTTCTTTAAAAAACATTACAAGTCTTACTGAAACTTTTGAACGGCAGTGTGTCTGTGTGTGTGTATATATAACAGTTGTTTTAAATTGTATTTCACAATATTACTGTTTTTACTGTACTTTTCATCAAATAAATGCAGCCTTGGTGAGCATAAGAGACTTTGCTTTGACATTTTGAAAAATGTTTTTGTTGGAAATAACATTGGACCCCGTTAGCTTTTACTGTAAGAAAAACACATTTCAACTACCCCTTTAAAACTGTATTCTGAAATTTTGTGGCGTACTTCCATGTTCTGAAAAGTTTTAAGTGAATAATTGAGGGAAATCCATTTCAATTTACAGAGATATTTGTAAAAAAGTAACTCTTTGGCATAAACAGTCTCAGACACAATTTTAGTGGAGAAACAAACTACAAAGCCCTGTCTGCATCAGTTGAAAACACACACACACACACAAGCAAAGACACAGGCTCTCAGCTTGGTTACTGTTGGCATGCTCACTGGTCCTTATCTGAGGATAGGAGGCAGGAATGTCAGAGCATTCGTTGTATGCTCCAGAGAATTCATAAACAAGAAAACAACAAACAAAGTAAACACATCAGACAACCCGTCACAGATCTGACATCTCACTGCAAGACCTCGGCTTGATCTGACTTTGAAATTGAGCATTCAAACTGTTTATTAGGGCTGAACGATTAATTGCATTTGCGATAATATCGCAATATGAAAAAACACGATTTGTTTATCGTCGAAAAGACCGAATGAAATAAAGAAAACGCAAAGGACATACAAAAAAAGTAGGTTGGGGGAAGAAAAGAATGATGACAGACAAACTTGACCTTTATCTGTTCTGCACTTGAGCCCTCAATTCTAGACACAACACCCAGACAATCACATTTCCTTCCTGTCTTTAAGCTATGACGGAGCCAAACAAACACAGAGAGTATGTTGTTTTAGAAGATATTAACATTTTGTCTAGTGAATTATGAATTAAAATATGTAATGACAGCAAACAGAGCGCAGAAGGATGAAAGGCAGTCTTGTGCGTGCTTTCTGTATCCTGGCAGCTGAACAGTGTTTGCCACCAACAACTAAATATAGCTTCAGTCTGAAATAGCAGCTATCAGCATCAGTGTGATGCTGATTGGACAGACAGTCATGATGACAGAAGAGAAATTACATCAGACGACTCGCTGCTCCTCAACATTACATAGCAATATGTGCTTTCTGTGTAAGGCTGAACTGCAATGAGATCCCAAGTGTCATACAGGACACTCTGTCCTGTCTGTGTTCTGTTAAGACAGCCCTTATTGAATCCTTTATTGGGAAAAAATACAATCCTAGAAATGGGAAAAAAATGAATGCTTCAAATAGCAACATTTATTTCAGGCTTGGCTATGTTGAACGGTTGATCCAACAGTTTGGATT